TGAAGGAGTAGTTCACATCCTCAGGAAAAGAATGAGTGTAAATGCCAAGACAATAGTTTACAAAATACTACATGTTACTTGACCTATTGGGGACTTCAGCATAGAGGAGGGCAACCATCCACACTAAGCCTTTGACCAATCAAGAGACTAAGGGTTTCCTGGCTCAGGATTCTTAAGCAACATCAATACCCATAGACAAACAACATATTCATGGCATAAACTTAAAGATTAGTTCCCAAGTAAAAAGTTGTAGGCACAATCTTTGGCTTTTTATTTTCTACTGCCACAAAATTGGAAATCCATTTCATATATCAAGGAATATCTTTTTTTTTTTTTTTTTACAAGTACCCTTACGCAAACCCTACAGGGGCTGCTTAGAAGGTTGTAGCCATAAACATGGATAATGAATGCTCAAGGACTGAAAATGTATACAAAGGACATTACTTTGAAGCTTTTGATTCTGTACTTGGTGTCATCTCGGCGCTGCTGAAGAGATTCCCTGTGACCTCTGTATTTAGAATATCTCCCATCAATTCTCTCAGATAAACTGCAGGAATCCTGGAAAAACAACAAAGTTTCTAAATTAGTAGATGAAAGAAAAATCAGTACTCAAAATTAGAATAAGAAAGTATTGATATGTAGATAATAATTAAGGGCATTCAGAGAGATATATAGGGGAATCATAGGTCCCCAAGGATAAAGAAGAAAATGTTTGCTTTGGATGCTACCATAAAAACAGGGTCCCAGATTGGTTATTTGCATTCTTTTTACAATTAGTCCCTATGCCAATCTGAAATGATTGACATCCTTTAGTTGAAGGGAAAAAAGTTCAAGTAACAGTGAGTTGTCCAAAGATGGTCATTAATGGCACCACGCCACTTTTGGATGTTGTGTACTGTCCCTTGCAGTAATACTTGGTATCAAAATATTCTCTTTAAAAAAAGAAAATGTTACCTTTAAAATTAGCGCCTCTTTTTCTTCACTAATTCTTAAAAAACATTCTACCTTTTAACTATTACATCACGTAGATTTTTAAACTTAAGGATATCTCATCTGCCCTCAAAAGCATAAAAAGATTCAGGTAATAAAGAAATTAAGAAAGCAAAAACTTCCAGGGCCTGTCTCCCTCCCCTCACTCCCCCCCTCCCCTTCTATCCCTTTTCTTCCCCTTTCCTTCCTTTCTTTCCATTGTTCCTTCATTTTGAGGGGAGAGGATGGAACACAGTACACAGTCACTATAGCCAGTGATTTAGACATTTGTATTATGAATTAGGGAGAAATAAGAATAAAATGAGGGCAACTGATTTTCATATGTAAGAAAAATCATCTGTGGGATTTAGTTCCCCAAATAGTCCCAAGGAACTTATTGAATGTTCAAGCTGGAAGGGATATTAGAATTCCAAAATTCTCATTTTTATTAAAAAAAAACTACAGCTCAGGGAAGTTCAGAATGATTTGCCCAAGGCTAGGCAATTCGTGGCGGACTGAGCTTGGAACCCAGCACTATTTCCTTTCCACCAGACCAAATGTGTAATGTTTAAATGTGGGATTGTAGAGCTGAACTACTTCTTTAAAAATGAGGTTAAAAAAAAATGAGAGAGAGACTATGACACATTTAAAGAAGACTAAAGTCAAGACTAAATAAGATGAGGTTTGTATTCACACTTAATGTCACAGACTATAGTATTATCAAGAAATATACAGGTGAAATATATTTTCACGTATATGCTAATGATGCCAGTGTCAGGAGGGACTATAGAGATAATATCATTCAAGTCCCTCATTTTATGGATGAGGAAAGATCCTGAGATCTTCAGTGTTTTCATCTGTGCATGAGCTCAAACTAGAACTTAGTTCTCTGGACTCCTGTTCACAGCATATTGATCTGTAGAATGTTAGGGGTTTGAAAAATATAATCTACATCTAATAATCTATAGGCTCTATGTATGTGTATTTAAGGCGATTTCTAGTTGTTTTCATTAAATTGATTAAATGGGCTCTTTTTACTTGTATAGATGGCCCTAGAGTACATAAAGAATGGGTTTCAAGCTAGAGGCAGTAGGGAAAACAGACAGGCTTTGTTGTTAATACATAGAATTAGAGCCCAGTTCCAACCAATTTGTACACTCCAAGCATCAGTTTGCTCAGCTGTTAAGATGGTGGAAAATAATACCCATCTATAGGGTGTCTCTGAGGATTTGAAAAAATGTAATGTAAAGTACTTAGCTACCACCTGCTACATAGTTGTGCATAATACCTGCTAATGAACTCCTTTCCATTTCAAAGGTAAAGGTCTCAATTTTAATGACTGATATTGGAAAGTACAATTCTGAATTTTGAAAAATGGTCTAAAAATTTCACTATTTGGCATCGTCATATGTGATGTGTGTAAATGTAAGCTAGACTTGTAGATAATCACTAGCCCATATAATGAAAAATAATAATAAAATAATCTTTTGGTAATAGTAGAGAACAGAACTTTTAAACTGTACTTATGAATATTCTGTTCAGTGCAGACCACTGGGGAAAAAGTGAGCTGACACTGGAGGTTAAACTTTGTTTTTATGCTGTTCTAAGACAGGCATCTGTTTCTCAGTGACAAATGCCACCTGTTTCCAGTACTGTCTCTTGTCTGCCCTTCCCTCATGTAGATAACTTTTGTTAGCTACAGAGAAAAAGGTGGAAAGGATGTGGGTGTAACATAGTGCCTGCTTTCCACACTGGGCAATATAAGAGTGAGTAGAAATCTCATCTTCTTGGACAGTGGTTTCAAAATTCTTTGACAGAGTTTTAGACTGCAAATATATAATCAAATCATGAGAAAGAATCAAAACTTTAGTAAAATATACTAGAAACTCTTGGTTTTATTCTATTTGTGATAGTTCAGATTTCCGAATGTAGCAGCTCAACCCAAGATCCCACTCAAAAATGTTTAGTTACTGAACTACCAGAAACGCTTAATGAAAGGTGACTTTAAGGCAGTGCAGATCTTGAGAGTCTCATCATATCAGTGCCTCCAAAGAATCACGATGGCATGTCAGGCTCTATTTCCTACTTACTATATCTCGAATAACATGCTAGATTTAAAGAGAACTTAAACATAAGTCATATTTTAAAGCCAATGTGAAATAAGAGGTTAAGTGGACAAAGAGAACTCTCACCATTGCTAGCTTCAGCCATATAGGGCCAAGAAATTATAAATCACTCAAATTTTCATTAAATATGCATCCATAAGGGGAAATGAAAAGATGTTCTCCAGCCTGGACCTTGTCTGGTAGGACTGGGTGGCAGGGTTATTTGCTTTGCATCTGTCCTCTATGAGGAAATCTACAATATTACAGTAGATAAATCCAACATGTAATTAATTGGCTTGATAAATGAAATGCTTTGTGGTTAGAGTTCTATCAACAAATGGCATGGGATATAAAATCTAAAACTCTATGTGGATTTGAATTCATGTAGCATAGTATCAGGGTAACCTGTGCACCATCATATCTCTAAACCAAACAGTGCTTTGGAAATCTGTAATTAAAAAAAGAAGATAATCCATAAATTAAAATTGCTTATCAAAAAAGGTATCTATTGTCAATGTAATGTGCTACGTCTTTTTAATTCTTAAGTTTTTCTAAATTATAGTTAAAGCTTTAGGTGGCCAAATGAGCTTCTACTAGTGGGGTAAAAGTTTTTATTTTCCTATATTGTGCTAATATGTAAGTTCCATTATTTTCAATCCTGTCTTTACAAATGTCAATAAACTCTGATATGATGGTGCATTAAAAGTCCCCACTGTTTTTCGGTATTTCCTCCCTCCCTACAATTTTCTTTGCACATCAGGAAGATGTCAAGTGTTCTCACTCAGATAAAAACACTGAAAGAGACAAGCCAACTCTTTCTCACTCTGAAGTCTTTGAAATCTTCTAGTAGGCTCAGTTTCTCAGGCACAGACTCCAGATGGTCCAAGGCCACTCGGGTACTCTGGAAAAGAAAACATAAGGAAACCAAACATTATAAAAAATTGATCAATACTCTCAGAATCCAACTACTAAAAATCAGTTGCACCATTGGTGTAAGCAGTTCAAGCTGAAGATTTGGAGAGTCAAATAAGAACAGATATAACAGTATTTCTAAGGTAAACATACCTTTTTAAATCAGAAGAATTATTTCCTTTCACACAGTATATGAGATGCATTTGCCAGACTGACTCAGACATGAAAACTTCCTGAATAATTGCTTTCATCTGATATGCTATGAAACTTTCTATAGAGTATTTCATATTAATATTAATTTACAAACCTGCTTCAGTGAACATCAGAAATAAACCACAAGGTAATACTGAGAGATGAATTTGCAGTTACGTATCTATGCAGCATTTAGAGATCCTCACACAGTGCCATTATAAAGAAGAAAAGAGTTCTCAACAATTATTTTAGCTAAAAAGGAAAAGAGCAGTTCTCAAAAGACTTGGGAAAAATATCTAAAATTAAATATTTGTGACAGGGATACAAGATCCTGGTTATAAATCAATAACTTATATAGTCTCTGATTAGCTAGTCCCTGATTTACACCCACCAATATAAACATTAAGAGAGAACGATCTGAAAATTATTTCAAAGCCAATGTGAACCAAGAGATTAAATGGTAGAATAGCCTTGAGACCAGAGACTGTATCATATGTAACTCTGTATTCTTAGTCCTGCCACAGGGCCAGCACACATAAGGCAGGCAATAGATGTTAGCTTTTAAATTTAAAATGAATTTTAATTATTAAATGAAGTAAACAACAACCCCTATGGCTGGTGCATGAGAAGAAAGTGAAGTGTCTTGAGAGAACCTGGACATAGGTTTTCACAGAGCTGTCGAGAAGTTAGTGGCCCCCCAATATTCCATGTGCTACCCTACATCTCCCATGTGAACGGTTCTTAACAATATGAGTGCAAGTGACATGCGTCACCTCTGGGCTCAGACAGTTAAGAGGCTTTATGCTCCCTCTTCCATCCCAGCTCCTGCCATGAGGACCTTGGAGGCCACACGCTCCAGATGGCATAGCTACAAGACAGAGGAGAGATGTTGACCATATCGGACTTCATGTGAGTGAGACATCAACCTCTACTGTGTTAAGCCATGAGATTTCAGAATTTGTTAGTGACCAATGCATAGCACAGCATTAATTACTGCAAATAATAACTGAGAATTACATAATTGAATGGCAGGCTTCTCAGGTGGCCAACTGGGTTTTTTTTTTTGACGGGGGGAAGCTCCAAATTATAAGTGTCATGAGGCTTTTTTTCTAACGCGGAGTTCAGTTCTTCTGGAACTAGACAGGGTTAGGAACTGGTGTTCTCATCATTTGGTGTACCCACTTTCACTTAATCTTCCTATTTTAAATCACCTATCTCATCCTAATGCTGTTCTCTGCCTTCATCTCCAGTCGAGCTTCTCCAGGGCATACACTTACATCTCCGTGGGGTTTGTGTTGGGGCCGGGATGAAGAGAGGGAGTTGAGGGTGTAACTCCTCCTTGCAGACACTTTCAATGTGTTCATTTCCACCCCCTCCTTCTGCGGTAATTGGTACCTCCAATTCAAAAGCCTTTCTGAAAATCTACAGTGAATGATGCTGCTTTCCATCGCCATCCTCTGACAGGCGCTTGGGTTTCACCTTCTGTGTTCCGAGTCATTTTACCATTTTTCTTTTATTCTTTGACTTGGAGTCATAGATGTCTTCCAATTGTCAACATGCAAATCAGTGTTTGTTTCTTCATATTCTTATTTTTCTAACGTGACTTTTGAGAGTAGAGCATAAACACTCTTACTTCGCCATTTTGAAACTAGAAGACATACGTGCTATTTCTTCACATTCACAAAATCTTCCTTTTCTAGTTCCATTTAAAGAACTTAGTATTTTGTTCCTTCTGTTTAATATTTTATGATTGTCTTTTCTGCCATGCATTTCAAATGGCTTCATTTAATTTTTTCATTTGTAGGAAAGATTCATTAAAATGACGTTTCTTAATACATGCCATAACATGTATGTTTGTGAGAACAAGTAATTTTAGCCACCATATATGCTATATTTATTTAAATAGCAAAATTATAGATTTCTTCAAGAATCATATTGGCCCTTGGACAATAAAATACAAATCAATGCCATGGTGATTTTAAAGCAAAACTTTATGCATTGAATAAAATCTTCTTTATGAACAATGGTTCCAAATAGACTTGTAGTTATAAAACTTTCACTTTTTTCTTTTTTGGTGAGGAAGATTGACCCTGAGCTAACATCTGTTGCCAATCTTCCTCTTTTTGCTTGAGGAAGATTGTCTCTGAGCTAACATCTGTGCCAATCTTCCTCTATTTTGTATGTGGGATGCCACCACAGCATGGCCTGATGAGCGATGTGCAGGTCCGCTCCCATGATCCAAACCTGTGAACCCCAGGATGCTGAAGCTGAGCGCATGAACCCAACCACTCTGCCATCAAGCCAGCACCTAAACCTTTTTCCTTTTATCCCATAATTTTTCTCATTCAAACGTGACACTCTGAACGTGGGCTAAGTGTTAAATTCATTTTGTTTTTAAAATAAACAAGTGATCTCTTTCCCTACAGTAACATCCAGCATATTATGCAAATATTTCAGCTTAAAATTTTCAATCAACTAAGTGACTCCATGAAAAAGTTTTTTCTTGCATGTTTCACATACTGGTTTATTTTGACTATTTGATTATGTTTTGGGGTGCATATTCAAATGGCTATGTCTTTTTGAGTGAACCTTAAAAAATTCCTTGGCTCCTTCTTTCTCAAGTGCAGTCATTTCTCTACTCCATCCCCCAACTCCCCATATCTCCATTAACATCTTTCTACTTTCTCATCATCTAGTTGATTGTGGCTTATTATATATTCTACTTATGTGTTGTTTCTAAATATCTTCCTCAATATCAGAAATACTTTTTGGTACCATGACTGTCTCTTCATCCTGATAGTCCAGTCAATCAGTTAACATCAAATGTACATCTAGATATCATAGAAAGATCCACAAGACATAGATGGCACAATTCCTGTTCTTCAGGAACTTTTAACTTACTTTAGGAGAAACATGCATATGCGAAAGATGTAAGAATTATACAAAGAAAAAAGTGAATTGCATTTATTTTAAGGAAATTACACATACTGCTGCTGAGATTTCTAGGGCATCTGCAACAATAAGATGTGAAGTCATGAAGACAATGAGTCAGGCCTGCAGGCATCTCAGGTCTCATAATTTCATGCTTAAGTGCTATTTTGGGGAGTACATTTATTTTCTGACTGTCCTTCACTCTCTCAGTATGCTTAAAACCAGCACGTTGGCATACAGACTTCAGAGTATGCATATTCACGTTCAAACTCTTTGTTTTGTTTTTTCAAATGTCAGATTGGCTGGGGTTCGGTGATAAGAGTCTTGTCACATTACATGTCATTTCAAGCTCACTTTTCACCAAAAGCTAACAGTGCTAGAGAGACAAGAATGATTAGCAGATGAATAGTCTACCTAAGGAACTTGTTGGGTTTTAGAGATGCCATGAGGACCTATAGCATGTTAGTTCCTAGGGCAAAATACTGCATGCCGAGTTAGGGAAGCTTTTTTATTTTTAAGTTGGTTAATTATTTCTGCCTTATATAGTCTAATGTTTAAAAGGGCAAAGACAAGTCCCCATTGTTAGAATTAAGGGAACAATTTCTCAAGTTCATTCAATAATGGCACCAGCAAATGACAGGTGCTTAACCTCTCTTTAATTTTCTTAAAGCAGTTTTCTAGAACTAAATCAGACATTCCCAAAGGGGTTTAAAGACTGTTTCTCCTTTGAAAGTGTTACAAGACAGTAAATTTCACATCAAATTTGAAAACAAAGAAAAATTCACAATTAAGACTCCATTTCACAAAGGACCAATACACTGTGTATAATACTTGGCTTATCTCAGAGGTTTAAGGAGCTAGACTTCCATTAGCCTAGGAGCAGTGGCAAAGAAATGATCAGTTACTCCTAATCCTGTTTAGAAGCACAATGAAAGACTGAGCACAAAAATATAATTCAATTTTGAATATACTTCTTAATCCTCACATCACTGTATGATGTAGATACTACTGGTATTCCCATTATACAGATGAGGCAACTGAGGACCAAAGTGTAAAACCTCACAGTCACGTGTTGGCAAAACTGGGATGTGAATCCAACAAGTCAATATTTTTATGGTCAAATCAGCAGTTAAAAAGGATAGCAACTAGAAGCTGTAACACTGAGTGCTTTATGTGAATTCCCAATCCCTCTCTAGCTACCAACTCTTAACAGCTAGAATTTTGGAGATATGTCCTTGATGGGCTTATTTCTGGAAGAGAAGTTTTAAGATGAACCCAGGAAGGACTTCATCTTGCCAGTGCTGAAGAGTCTGTGCTCAAGACCATGCATCCAAGCATATACACATACAAAAGGGGTCGGGATATTCTTTCTGTTGATTAGAAGAAGTTAAGGATGAGATTGAATTCTGTGGTACTCACTATCAACCCCTTTTCTTTTTCTGTAACACTTAGCATTAGCATAGCACACTATCTGGCCACAAGAGGTGCTTCAATAAATCTCGGCTGAATAAAGACCGAGTTATCGTGCTCTAATGAACCCACTAACTCTTGGCCTCTTTATTAAAAACTCAGAAGCAAAAGTTTGCTGTTTCATGTATTTTTCTCTAGACTAATGGCAAGATCGAGTGGTAGAAACAACAGTGAAACTCAGAAATCCTACAGGTGTGTTTAGATATCTGCTGAAAAGGGCAAAGAATAATCTGGCAATTTTACTATTCCAAAATCTTCAACACATACCAAACTGCCATAGAGCTGGGCAGTTTGTACTGGTTCACAGTTATTTTTCCTTAGTTGTCCCTTTGTTTCAGACTACAGGGAAACTGAGTAATACAATATGACAACATAAGTGACAGCAATTAGAAATTAGAAAAGAGCTTCACTGCAATTCTTAGATTCCTGTCTCCTGTAAAGACAGCTTCAGAAACAGATTTAACCATAGGTGTATTTTAGTAAATACACTTCTCTTTGTAAAAATGCATGTGTTTATTTTCTTATTAACATCTAACCACTACCATTTTCTTCTACTGCTATTGAATTCATGTTTTGAAGTTTAGACGATAAATAAATTAAAGGAGATGCTGTCTATATTTTTATTTTAAAAATAAGTGTGTGCATTTTTGGCAGTACACGGATGTTAAATAAACAAGGTTCTGAAGCAGTTTATTTGGGTTCAAAAATGCAATTCTATTTCATTTGGAAAGAGATCCACTGCAAAACTTTCTTGACAAATGGTTGAAAGATGGTAAAAGGACCTGAGTAAATAAGTTTCAAGGCAAGGAAAGGTGAGATCATAAAAAGGATAGACTGTCTGCCTTTTCATTTGTGGTGACACAATCCAGCACAGCTGTATCGGCTTCATAGGGCCCTCTTTTCATCCAAACTGTATAAGACACCCACTGGAAACAAACTGAACAGTAGCAGAGAATGGACTGGCAAAGTCATTTTGTTGATGCGTATCCTTCAAAGAGCCCCAGTGCTCAAAGTTGTGTGGATTTCTTGGAATATCAAGAGCCCTCTACTTCTAGATTGTGTACTTTAAGAGAGGTCTCAAAATCAGACACTCACTTAGCAGTGTTTACGCGTGTCTTGGGGTAAGAGGGTACACGGGCTTGTTAAATAACACCAGTTAACATAGCAATATGACATCAGTGACAACATTTGAGCTGAATTCCAGAAAAATTTTCGTCAACAACAAATTCTATTTGTCTTCATATAACATCATTCTAGTCAAAAGTGGTAGATCTCCTTTAAAAATCACAAATTTATAAAATTTGAGAATAGGTAGCATATCTTCATTGGAAAACTTGGACAAGGAAGGCTTTCTAAGTATGTTCCAACTCTCATTCAAGTGAAGAAGTATATGAAACCTACAGAATCTGCCATTCCAGATTATTGCTTTCTTATTTTTAGATATAAGCAAATTAGAAATTATAGCCAACCTATGATCTTATTATTAGCTTAATTTGAGGATTTTTTTT